TTTATGCACCAATTTATCAGCTCCCGCCTGCAATGCGCAGCTACCTACCCCTCCCCCCAAATCATCGGTGAACGAAACTGCGGCAGCTACAACCGCTGTACGACGAGTACGCGGTTATTACAGCTGACAGTGATGATGATGATGAGCTTTTACGTCCGAAGGGGGGAAATGTTTGCACAAAATGAGCGTATATGAGGATAAGGAATTGCTTTCATCAAAAATAGGACGAGGTTGTGTGCGTACATTAAATTAGAGCTGGGAAAAGTGGTGGGGCTTACAAATAGACCCTTTGCATTATTGGCGGGGTTTATTTGGAAAAGATCCGATTCCACTTACAGGAGCGTTAGAAAGCGGATTCACGAAAACGGACAACTAAATGATTGGGCTTTGTATTTAACCTGGGGGTTATCATTCTCTTTGTCCCCTGGTCATCAGTTCTTCCTTAATCAGGGTATACCAATAAATTAGCTATCGAAGGGAGCTTACTGTGTAATGTGTACAATCTATAACGCGTCTCACCTGAGGGTAGTTCAGCCTCTTCTCTTGTACCATTATCAACGTCTTCTGATTGATGTGCTGAATTCTCTGGCATAACAGTGTCTCTGTTTATGTCTTTGTTCATTTGAACATCCTCAGGGGCCACATCTCCGGGTGCTTGCGCTGAATCGAGAGCCGAGCCTTGTTGCTCTGCTTCGTTCGCACTGATTTCTAATTCTATACTGGCTTGCTCATTTGCTGCTTCGGCATTCACTTCAACCTGAATTGTAAGTTCGCCATCAGTCAGGTTTTCCCCAACTTTGGGTTCGGGAGAACTTGAATCTTGCTTTTCCTCATCAGTTGTTCGTTCGACAAGAGTTGAATCTGCGTCAGATTGGACGGTTGTGCCACATACATCGGACTCGGGTTCTTCAGCCGCACATTCCTCTTCGATTACTTCATCCAACGCTCCAGCGAATAAGTGATGCGTGTGAGTCAATGTTCCATCATGTGCCAAATAGAGATCCACCAGTGATTCTGGAGGTGGTGGGGGAAACGGTTCGATATCTTCACTACCCTCACTGGCAGAGGTCGACGAATTCGAAGGTGACCCTAGCCGGGTGGGTGAGTGCGCAGCCTTGACTGTTTCCATACTAGCTTCGGAAGTATGAAGGTCATCACAGACAGACGAGGCTTGCGTTGACCCATCAGTTGTGTGTTGATCCTGAGAGTCTGTTAGTCGCATTTCGCTCAGTGAATTCTCAATAATCTCCGAGAGCATGTTGATCACATGAGTACCGTCGTATTCACTATCAGCGTCTGTCTGGTCCGCACTAGCGTCAAGGTCGCTGAGTTGGTTTATGGAAGATAATTGTGGCTTTGGTTTGGTCTGGATAAAACAAAGTGATGGGGAATAAGTGCTCCCAATTGGAAGAAAGTCCACGAGAACAAACGTGTTAGTAAAAGGTGCGAAAAAGTACAACGTGTAAATCAACAAATAGGAACTCCACAGGCGAAATAAGGCAAGAAACTTGATTGGCTCAAAAACCGAACCGCGAGGCAGCGGCTTGGCGGGAAATGCAAATGCAATACCATTTCTACGGAACAAGTCGCCACATGTTCCAACCCCCAACCTGGAGGGCCAGGAGACTGTATTTGTCAGACTTCTAAGCATTGACCAACCTAATATGAGAGACTCTGTGAGTGTCGCGGGGACAGTCCCCAGTATAGCTCAATGGATCGTTGGGGTGCGCTAACCGTCACACCCCGGTAAGGTCCAGTCCCTTAGTGGGAGGTTCTATCCAGATCGCCTGAGTGAGTGTTTGGAGGTGTAGGCACCTCGGAATGATCATGGTAAGTTAGCACTAAGCCCCTTCCCTCTCCTGCTTTACTCTTTTCTTAACAATAAGGCTTTCAAGTAAATCATGGTAATTTTAAGCAACAGTCTTCGAGAATGAATTACCTGTGTGTTTGACTACATAGTAGAGCCGAGAAAGTGGTCGGAACCTTTTGGAAACTACAGTGGGCGAATTATGTACAGGTTCACAGGAGTTTTTGCGCAATTCAATCGACTGTGGTATACCTGAAAGTCTACCTTGTTTTCGGAACCACTGTTACGTGTCACAGGTAACCGATAGAGCCACGCTTAGCATCGGAACTCCCCATGGCTAGACATCCGGCAGTGAAGCATCGGTGTTGAACACTGATGTCATGCTGTCGATGATGATGATGATGAGGAGGAGGGTGCTACAGTTGAACGATTTACTGTGTGATCATATGACGGTCTAAAATGAGGCAACGTTGCAAACTGCAGACACAAGTTCTTTTGAGGATCTATTCCACAAAACCGGTGGACCAGGGGTTGATCTGAGAGATGTGTCGCGCGGAAGCTCCAGAATATTCTGGTGATAGTGGTTTCACTGATTCGGAATTTGACAGACAGAATCCAGGTCTCCCCAGGACTAACGAGGATCGTCCAAGGGAAGCATCACAGTTCTTAGGTTTCTCTGCGTAGAACAAATTTCTAACCACTTCTACAAGCGTTGTGGCTTGGGGCAAGGCGAATAGTTCTTGATCGATGGCGAAGGTTTAGTTTGGAAAAAGTGATCTGCTGAGACTTCTAAAACATTCAATGGAGAGGCTGGAAACGACTGATTGATGGAGAATCTGATCTGGCGCGGTCGACAGATTAGCTTCGGTTACTCGTAAAAGACGTCATGCTGTTAGGAAAGGCGGTCATACACGTTTTTCGTAGGAGACATAAATTATATGTAAATTACATAGAACTTGGTTCTATGCTCCAATCCACTGTAGTTATCAGCCTACTACTCAGAGTTAATTTTCTCAGTGAAAAACGACAGAATAAAGACAGACACACACCTCAATTGACTCCCCAGCTGTCTCCATCGCTTGCGCCACCTGTTCACCCGATGTCGTGACAAAATCTGAGGGGGAAGTATCCACCGTCGAACTGATACAAGCTGCAAGGGGTGGCGCAGTGGGTGGTGGCTGCGGGGGCTCGGTAACTTCTACTGAAGTGATAGTGCCCGTGCTCAACATGCATGCCTGTTGGGGTTCGACCGATTGCACAAATGAAGTCGTTTGTAGTTCAATGTCCGATGGGTATACAGTGTTTTCTTCAATATCCTCGAGCTAAACAGAGTAGGATCATCATGGGGCAAGGCGTTAGTGAACGAAGCGCAAATGGCCGAATCAGCTAGACTCGTACAACTATTCGAAATCATAATTGAGACAGCAAACCAACAACGATCAAACGACGGTGAATAAAAAGTCAGTTCAACTGAGCTTCAAAACGGAGGTGATAGGACCGTCCAAATTCACTTCATTCACAAAAAAGGCCAATTCCGACATTATCCGAAAAGTGGTGGATTTCATCAAGCTATTCCATTTGTTAGCCTTGCGTCGTTGCAAACATGCAGTTAGCTAACAAATGGTCCCAAACACTAATCTGAATTGAATGCAGTGCTGTCATAGCTGGCTGGACAATCACGTGTCACGTTCGCTGAGGAAAACCTTCTTAAAAGAGACTACAACTCATTTCATAAAGGTTGCTGAAAACCCTTCGACAGCCCACCACCGGTTTCGCTCTTCTTGGGGCTCATCAGGTGGACGCAGAGTACAACCCTACTGTATAGCTAACTTTATTTGAGTACAACTGTCCTGGAGGTTAAATCAGCACACTGTGCTTTCTCCAACAAAAATCGATCAGTAAAACTTCGGTAGGATGCACGAAGTGCATGCATCAGCCGGTCTGACGACTGTTCAATTCCACTAGAAAACTCAATCCGTTTGCATACCCTAGTAAGCGCACAGATCGGAGTTTATTCGTAATAAAGCTTGGGTGGACGCACCCGGAAACAGAGGTGATATCCACATCGAATCGCTAAAATTGCGCTATCAGAAAGCGGGACCGCGAGATCACATACCGGAAATCAGATATCAAGAATGCTAAAATGCTAAGCCACGTCACGTGATATCATCGCTTCATAATGAATGATGCATACTTCCATGGTGGCCAGGGTCATCTGCGTAGGTTGTCGTTCCTCTGCCGATTCCCCCTTCCCATCCTCGACAACTTTAGTCTGTGTTTCGTCCTTCAGATCCACGCTTGGCTTCTCAGGTGAGTCGAACTCTCCATCACCATCAGCCAGAGCCGCTGTGTTCTCAATGACAAAGTCATCTTGCACCGCTACAAGGAAAGCGAATTGGTAATTGGCTAAATCTTATCGATAGATAAAACAAAACAACAATTCGTAGAAGAGATTGAGAAAGGGTAATGCTGTGGAATGAATACATGGCTGGGAGCGGAACAGTGACTGAATGCTCCAAAATATTTTCCCCCGGATATCCGTCCCTTTACGACAAACAGTGAAACTATTGTGCCGTATTTAAAAGTCCACATGCACCGCTGATGAGCTCAGAACTCAAGTCCAGCGCATCCCCGCTCTGGTGAGGAATAAGAGAACGTTCCTGTTTGGACCAGAAGGAGAATATGTAAACAAAAATAACTTGAATACAAAATCTAGTTTTCGATTATGTCAAAGTTCTTCGGAACAAGCAAATTGACAACTGACAAGTTTGAAAAATCTGTGGTTGTCAGCCAATTTTTCTTCAGAGCGGCATGTAGAATGACAGCGTCGTAACGAGTGATGCCAGATGTTTTGTCTTTCTGCATCCTTCGCTTACCACGAAAATACAGAGTGAGTGTCACGTGGTTGTTGATCGGTTCGCCTAGCTTGACAGTTGAATCGCAAACTGTTCGCCTAGCTTGACAGTTGAATTGCAAACTTTTTGTCACCATTCGAGGAGACATCATCAGTGTGCTGTTGGGTGGATAGTCCCTCTCTTCCTGCTAGCGTTTATATAGTTTACAAAGAGCAGCTTCCTGCACTGTATCCTGATTGGCCATTGATAATCGTCGCACTTGAATTCTGGTTGGTCCGATCACAATCTGTGTTGCGTTGTGGTTTGTATTTCCTGCCTTCTGCAACAGCCACCTGATCAATTGCCAATTAATGCACCCGAGCTGGAGATATTCCAACACATTACCAACAGAGTGAGTGTGGATGTGCGCGAATGAACTAAAACGTATGCGTTGGGTAACTGAGGGACAATTTATGAAGTGCCCGAGTACTTGCTAGAGAAACGCTAGTAAGAGTCAGGGAACTATTGTTCAACAAAGCTCTATTGTCTTTCCCATAAAGATTTAAGGCTTCCGAGCAGTTTTTCTCTCCTTGAGGGCCGAAAATGTTAAGGTTCTAACCGCTTCACTTGCCGTTCTTCTAATCCCTCAATAAATTATTGGAATTTGGGCGAAGGTCCGACGGATCTCGAGACAGAAGTCCAGAGGCGTGTACCATGAACCTGGGGACGGACTCAAACAGACGACCTCCTGCCTACTGGCGGTTTGAATTTGTCTCCAGGTATGACTCTGATTTCCTATTCCGAGATCTATCAAGTCCCCTTCTTCTGTACAACAAGTTACCCGAAAGCCTCTGGGGTATCTACACTCTGGTACCTAAGAATGACTCACTGAGTGAGTCTTTCAAAAGGCAAACTAGCAGTGCTGGCAGGCCAGATTTTACTAAATCAGGCAGTGCTGCAGTTAGTCAGGCATCTGGTGTAGCGGTGAGCGAACGTCCGTTTTAGCTCAGTCAGTTGAGCACCCGTACGAAGCGGGTGATCGGTGATTCTAGCCGAAACCGCATCGATGACTGTTGTTCGTTTCTAATTTACGAAAACAAAGAGCAGCTGAGAAGTGCACAGAATGCATCCTTCACACACATTTCCACATCATCTTTAGCGCTTACTGAGCTTATTGATACTTCATTGAAAAGTTTAGTTCATCCCCGGATGGATACTCTAGCGAAGGCGACAACAAGCAATCTTGGTGAGCCATTAGAGTCTGGCATTAAATCCAGTGAACGGAATTGTAAGTTAGCTCGGAAAGACAAGATATTAAATGTGGGATGAAGGAAAAAATTCATTTCCCACATTCACAAATTCACTATTCATCCACAGCCGTCTGTGAACGATGACAAAAAATTGCTTTTTAAGTACTCTGAAAAGAAATAAAACCCGGAGGAAAATGTGGAAGGGCTCAGTATGTAGTTTTTCGAAACGCTCTAAAAATTTACCCAGCTGCAATGCCATACCTGCTGCTTGGTTTTCCAAAAAACTGTCCCTTAGGTCAGTAGATCTGTCACGTGGAGACCTTGAAGATGATTTTGAGCCAGGATGCCTTCGGTTGGGATGCAGGTGGCGATAGTGCCGAGCTGGCCGCACTGCGTGTGACTGCCTTGTTCCAGTTCTTTCATCTCTGAAGAGCGAAGAAAATACGAGCATGCAGAAGAGAATCAGATCCACCCACACCCACACACACGCACACGCGCACTTGGGGTTGATTCTTACACACGGTTGTATAAGCCACTTATTGCGTTATGTAAGACCGGCCGACTGCCGGCGATTTACCCTATCGATAAACAGCGGTGCACAAGTTCAGTCACGAAAGTTCTCAGTAGACCGCCGCAGTAAGACAAGGGAAAGAAAGAAAGAGGATTGCTGGAATCGACAACCCTCGAGTACTGCTGCTAGTGGTGTAGAGTAACAAGTAAATGCGGAGGATGGACAGCAAACCGATACTTAAGAGGGACGAGTGGGAGAGCAAGGACTATGGAAAAATGGCTGACAACTCAATTAAGTTAACAGAAGTTAGTTGGTAATATAATTTTGTTTGAGCTGTTGACCTCAGTGAAGCGTGCTGTCCGAAGGCTTGCGAATGCGATGATACGAAGCGTTTTAATGTTCCATGTTGGCCTCACCCCCAAGCGAACTACCAACGACTTCAGGTCTTACTATCTTAGCCGAAAACCAGCAACGGAAAAATAACAGTCAGTGAGCTGTAAATTTTTTGGTGCACAGCTGTCATACTGGCCGAAAAACACGAATGAGGCTGAGACATCGCCAGGTTGCTGAAGCCAAGAAAGTTGCAACTGGTCTCCCAGCAAGTAAGTCGGTACCTTAACCAACGAGCTACCTCTGGTTCAAAGAACATCTGGTTCAAACAACTTGTAGTGTATCTCAAATCATTTCGCTCTTTTCCAAAAGAGATGAATTGCATGCCACGGTCACCCGACTTATTCGCTTGGATGGTCATCAGCACATGTGAGCAAAACACTGGTTTCATAGCCTGAATTGTTGGCCCAGAAACGTAGGATATCGGTTGATCTTTTTCGGTCGACCATTGGGTTCATTCTCTCATATGTTGGGCTTCCGAGACACAATCTTGAGAAGCAAGGGTTACAATTTCACTGTTCAGCTTCGTTGTTGGTCAACCATTTCTGAAAAGCTCCAAATCTGATGGAAACCAGGTTCCTGGTATGAATTGTAGTCAAGTAAACGTCGAGAACGGATTCCCATGACGTGACAAGTTTCGGTTAGACTGGTCTTGACTGAGTCCCCGAAACCCATAACTTTTGAGTTTTCCTTGGCGGAATTCTCATGACTAGTCCCCTCACTGGTCACTGACAATGCATTTAGTTTTAAAAGTCTAAGTGGACTCCTTGGAGTGCGCGCTGTAGGTCAACGATAGACCTATTCCCTCTACTCTTTCGCGTTTTGCTTGCACAGAAACACAAAATAAAGTTCAGTCATGATTCAGTTACCCCGCTTCCGGTGAGAACCTTCCCGGTTTCTCACTATTTAGTGGTACGTAAGCTTGCGGTAACCGTATGTTTTCTTTATGGTAACCTTTTATGTCAACAGAGGCGTATTGTTGTCGAGTAAACGCACTAAAAAACACTGAAAAATAGTCTCATCTCTGGGATTCTGAGTGTCAAACGGCCGTTGCCGAAAAGATCGCATTCATCCCCAGAGTGATTTTGGGGTCGCCCCCGAGCAGACACTCTTCTCACAGTCGAACGTGGTGGGACACAGTCAGGAGCGATGCCCGGCGAATATTCCGCTGAAATCCTTCTGAATATTCCTTGCTTGACACAAACCACATAAGAGGTAGAGTAATTTCGAACTAATCGTTATATAGCCGCAGATCGACATAAATATTATGACAGAGTGGCAGTTGTTCGCAAACAAAAACGCATCAGATTCCTCCCTCAGCGCCGTCACAACCTGAATCCCACCCGGTTTGTCGAAACTGTCTCTCGAATCAACTGTGAGCGAGCGTATCGAGACCAACAGGCAGACATTAGAATTGAAATATAATCTATGCCTGAAAATAGTCGGGGTGCTACAGCGTACAATGTGTGAAAAATCCACTGACGTGTCGCGCAACACCGTGAGCAGTTACAACCCCTCACTGGTCCAGCACGAATAAGTTCACAGCTTTGAACACGTCCATTCCTAGACAGCCAGAATAACTAAAGCTTTGGCAAACGGGATACTTGATCCTAAAACATGTTAGAATGGGTACAACAACTGACAACTCGGTTCCAGTGGATAAAATATTTCCCCACCTACACGCGCTGCCTGATCCTGGCCTACTTGTCCTGTCCGGGCTAGCAAACTGTTGGTTACATGTGAACCATCGATCACCGTCTGTGCGTTCATTAGCCATTCAGTGGTCGATTAGCGGGTCTGTGACGCGATCTATCACAATTAAGTCTGGCTACTGAAAATACGCAGAACCGAAAGCCGTTAAAGCACATACGAATGGGTATTTCTCGGATAACCTCTTATCTTACCTCATTGGTGCGTATCGAGTACACTCGGTGCCCATTATCCGCACAAACCTCTTAGCTGCAAAAGCTTTGCGAGTGGAATGAAACTTTCTTACGCCAAAACATTGCATTTGGTCGCCTATGTGCTCAAACCAAAAAAATATTCCAATCTACGTTCATATCTTTGCTGCTCATCGAATTTTATTGTCCACTGAAGCAATCATACCTCTGGCGAAAAAAGTCTAATGGAATGCTTTCCTAGCATCGCTGATACCCTAGATTGGGCTCGCAAGGCTGGACTCGTACTCCGAACTCAATGGACACGTGGTAGCTTTCGAAAATTCGATTTCATTGTGCGAATACCGAGCGCTGTACACTTAATCTCTTATAATATTGATCGATTGTCCAGGAGAATTAAATAACTCAGAGATGATCTATAGGTCGAATTTGTACTGTAACCCTTGAAGATTGTGTTGCGGGCAGGAAAAGTACATAGAGACCTGGTTTTCCATTTAGTGTTGTGGAAAACGAAAGTAACTTGTTGGGAGGGGGCGGCACGTGCAGAACATGTACTTCGCGTGACCGCACTCGCACATGTGGGAAGCGACCATATGAAATTGGCGCCGGGTGAGGTCTAATTCATCCTTTGAAGTACCTTGATTCATGTATGGAGGTGACAAATCGCGTTGGGTATGTTGTGTTTAACACAGATTACCAGCTCATATGCTATACAGGGACGCTACATCGAGCAGAAACTCGGCTCAATAGATAGTTTCCTCAAAAAAGCACGATTGTCACTATTGAGAATATTTCAAACGAATCCAGTAACATCTCCGTTGCTGTTGCTAGAACAGATGTTTAGGGGCTCGTTCTATGACGATAGCACCGGGAAACTGTTCAAACCTAAACGCTTGACTATAGAAGGATAAGATTTGAGGTGGTTTCGAAATGAGTTCATGTACTTTTTAAAATTCTTTTTTAAAATTCTCTAAAACAGAGCCTCGGCTTGGTCATGTGACAGCAGTGATGTGCGTCTCATTTCAAGTTCTGAAAGAGAGCCTGAATAAACCATCAAAAAGTCGCGCGGTGTGAAATATCAGTGGGTCATTAACTCACAAATGAAATCCGTCTGTGCCCATAAGTCTAGAGACAGGGTTGGGCTTCGTAACTTTTTGTTTAGTGGTTGACATTCTACCCTCTGAATAGCAGATAATCAATGGTGTTATCAGCCTGTAACTAGACATGAAGTAGCACCACTTCTTAAAGGAAACTACTCACAAGGTTGCTGAAAACTCTTCGACAGCCCACGACCGGTTGCACCCTTCCACTTCGGGTTCATCAGGTAGGCTCCCCGAGTTTCCGTCAACCTTATGTTCTACTTGAACACCACTTCTGTTCAATCAGCTGATTCACGTCACGTGACCCTATGTTGTGTTCCTCCACGGTCGACCTCTGTGACTGAGGAAGATAATTGCGACTTAATGATGTTTTTTCTTCATTTTTGGCACAGTTTTCATAGTTTACGTATAGTATAAATTGAACAACTAAGAAAAATGTCGGTTGAATGTGTCACAAACTGGTTAGAACAGGGGTACACTACGAATTGCAATAGGTAGAGGAGGTATAATGGATAGTATCTGTGACAAGATTGCACAGGGTATTCTGTTTACAACAAAGTCTTCAGTTCTGACCAGTTCAGCTTACTTTTTCACTCCGTGTTTTCCGTCTGGACGACCGTCATCCAAATGTTTATCCTCTTTCGTTGGAACACCTTCCTTTTGGCGACTTACTGCTGTTGAACCTTTGTGTGAAGACGCTTCACTTGCAAGTTCTTTCTTGCTTGTGGACCGCACAGAATCATCCATGCCTTTCTCCTTTGAATGATTCGCCACCTCGCTCTTTCGTCCAAATCTACCGGCCTGTCGTCTAGGTTCAGCACCCAATAATTTTTGTGTTTGTTCTCTCGTCTGCTTCAATTCGTATGCCAATGCCCGATGTTTTGCTATTTGTGCCCGAAGTTTCTGTTCTTTCATAAGTAGCTCCTCAACGATCATCGATCGTCTTTCAAGCGTCAGCGCATCTTCAATCCAATGATCTCCAGGAATCTCGTCCTGCGCAGACGATTCCGAAAGACTATTGGTCCAAGACAGTTCACTCGGTTCGCTGGACGAAGTCCCATAGCCGTGTCGCCTGTCACTGGAAGACCTTTGGTGTCTGCGAGGTGAGGAGCCTACCCGATGTGACGCACGGTAGGGTTTAACCGAATGGTGTCGCGATTCACGGTATGCATTTCGTTGGTCTGACAAATGCCGCCGGTGATGGTGTGACACACAGGAATGACATAGGCATGTGTAGTTTCGGTGGTAGTAGCGATGAGAATGATAGTGATCGTGATGACCATGTCCATGATGATGATGACGACGACGACGATGTCCGTGACAGGATGAATGATATCGTCTACGATGGCGCGAATGACAACAGGAATGGGACGAAGACGGACTGAGGCTACCGTAACTGTCAACTCGATCACATGTGGAACAGTAGGAAGCCGAATCCGGTGAATTAAGCAGACTTGCTTGAGACCCCAGTGATACGTCTGTCTCATCATCCGCACCGTCGCATGGTACAAATGACAGCGGCAACGACGGTGAGGGTGACCTTGGTGATATGGCTGGTTGGACATGTCCCGGTTCTGGCACATCCACGGACAACTCAACTTCTTGACCGCCAGCAGGTGCCTCGATTGTTTCCATTGTAGACGCCGTCGTTGACAACGGTTCCCTCAAAATATCTTGGGAATCTTGTGGTCTGGATACCGCATCGGGTTCTTTACGTTGTCTGGAAACTTCATCAGAGTCCGTGTCAGAGTCTAAATATACTGGATTGCGTGGTGGACCTCCTACAAAGAAAGAAGTTTAACAAATAATCTAACTGGTGAGGGATTAATCAGTGTATTTTGTAACCCAGGCAGAAAGGACTGGAAGTGAACAATGCCAAATGTATGAAGAAGTCTTGAAGGATTAGCCTTGACAAATGTGTGAATTGAACGAACGCCATGTCCATATATTCCCCAAACTGAACTGTTCATACGTAACATACTACTCATAAGGTCGCCGAAAATCCCTGATCGGCAACCTCATGAGTAGTGCATTACGTTAACACGATATACTATGGTACTGGCGTATCGTACCAGCTGGCCGGTGCAGCACATTCAGTTAAAGAGGAACATTGCAAACGAGGGATTCAGTTGCGTCTTCCGTAAAAACCAAATCAGTATGCAAGTGAATGTATTTCACAAAACTGTTCAAGTCACCGACGATCACCTTAGCAACTCGTCTAGGTGACGTAGGTTGGAATCAGATACCAAGAGTAAGTGGGCGAGTTGTATGAACCGCCAGCAAAGGGTAAAATCCAAACATAAACTTTTTTCTCCTTGTGTCTAGTCATGAGGGAACTAATTTTTGAAGAAACCGAATTTGTTTGTTTAAACGGTGTCTTGTGCACAAACTGTATGATCTACTACTGTTCTTATAATATGCCAACCAGTTTTTGAGAAATACACTCATTTGCAAATCAGTTTGGTTTTCACGGGAGACTCCATTAAGTCTCTTGTTTATGACGTCCTCCAATTGAATGTGCTGCACACGGACCGCCTCATGATTCAGTCGGCACGATATTCGAAATATTGCAGTATATTTTCATCAAGGAAACTACTCACAAGGCTGTCGAAGAGTTTTCAGCAACTTTGTGAGCAGGTTCCTTTACACCAACCAGTTCATTGACTGGGACTGATCCCCATCATGGTGATTGCACGCGATGGAGGAATGTGCCATTGTGGTATTGCGCAAAAAGTCACAAAAAACCCCAAGTCTGATATGAACTTGCCGGATCATTTCCAGATAAGCCCAGCCAAGAAGTTAACCGCCGCCACGCAAAAAAGACTAGAAAAAAGAGGACATGGAATTTGTACTTTTAGTGTTTATTGAAGGGGGTGGGATATTAGGACTTGTCATAAATGATCTGCATGAAAAGGTCCATTATTCGGTACCTTCGCCTCCACACGAATTCATACAAGTAGCTGTCCAATAAAGATCGGTGTGTGCCCCATTGGCGTTTATTTTGCATCTTGTAGACGTGCAAAGGAGACTCGATGGTTTGTGTGCGAGCTCCAGTCGGTGGATCCACAAAGTTTTCGGAATGATTAATCGTTGGAGTCTACAAAAGCCGCCAACAGCAAACTTCGCGGGGAAAGTTCTTCCAGTCAACGGCGATCGCGTGGCTAAAAGATAATTCTTCTGAACAGAATTTAATTTTTGCCGAATTTTTCGACCAGCAATAAATGAATAGAATAACTGTCCTAAACTCCATCCTAGACCGCTCCAATCAAGTTCCCTTTCGAAGACCGATTTCTTACCGACACTGTCAGGCATTACACCTTCACCTGTCAGAAACAGTTGAAAGTGTCATTTGGTGGCTATTGTTGCATAAACGTTGCTGACGGATCACTCCGTGGCTTTGCAAAAAACGTACTGCTGTCTCCTTGTCATGAACGAGAGTTGAAAGCATCAGAAAGTTCATTCGGTTTTACGTCGGAGAATATTTCTGCACAAAATGAGCCTAGATGAGGATTAGGAATTCTTTTCATCAAAAGTAGGTCAAGTTTGTGTGCGTACACTAAAATGGCGCTGGCAAAGTGTTGAGGGGCTCATCTGGGAAAGATTTAACTTGTCTACCGTCAGAAAGGGAAGCCTGTTCTCAGATGTCTCCCCGATGATTTACACACTGCCTTTTGTCGGTACAGTTATTTGGACTATTTACTTTAGACATCACTTTCTCGAATTCAGCGATCCGAATTTTTTTCTCAAAATCTACTTTCCTCTCTCTGACATTGACGACCTATCACGAGTTCCTGGGCAGGCGGACATGGAGGGCTTAATGTACCTGGGCTTTGGAATGGGACATAAAGAGCGGCGCAGTTGTGGACTTTCATCAATCTTTCTGTTCTCTCCAACTGTTTACCTTCGCCCATGTTCCATGCGCGCCTTCCGGTTCGTGTCGGACTCCCAGGCTCACCCAGAAGAACGGTGTCCAATTGTTCAACACCTTCCAGCAGACAAATTCGTGTTGAATGTCTAAAAACTCTCCACGTCTGCTACGATATTCATCTCCAGTCTATCCCATGGTCTGAGGTGAAATTTAGAGTTTACCAAACCGTCCTGGAGATTGGTACTCAAGAAGGATTTCCCGATGCGAATTTGGGCCATCTGCCTAAAGACAAAACCAGCAAGGCTGTTTCTGTCCCAGAGTGCACTTCATCTTAGTAGTACTTGCTATCTGAAGAACTAATCTATGGAATACTCGACATGCCTAGGTTACAGAGGATCTCTCGGAGACATTGCAGATGAAATATGGCAAGTACCGGAGTCCAACTTGACATCACGATACTTCTCCCATTCGTTCACTTGCTCCGGCATGTACTTTTGAGCTCCAACTGTTTTCTTCATCCGTACCAATAATTCATCTTGCTGCAAAGGCCACCCAGTTCGACACAGAGTGGGCATATGTGTGAATGTGCGCAACTAACCTACTTGAGTGTTCGAGCCCCAACAACTGGGCCTGCTCTTAGTTGTTCTTTTGTGATTTCCATGTGATCTCACCGCCAATCAGAATCACAAAACTGGCCTAGGACAGGGCCCACACAATGCTCTAAGCTTCGGAACCTTTAAGAGCAGAGTGAAAATTTTAGCACCAGAATGTTGCATTTTGTTGCGTATGTACTCAAACCAAAAACAAGCCTAATCTACATCCATACTTTTGCAGTTCACCAAATTTGTTCACTAAAGCAATCATACCTCTGACGGAAAAGCCTAATAACTGAACATCACATCATTTGGAAGGATGTCACGTGCAGGGTACGGACCAAACGAAGGCATGCTCTGATTGGCCAGAATGCCAGCCAGTCCGGATCGAGCATCTTTGACTCGACGCCTCTCGTCCCCTCACGGAGATTCCAGCGCGACCCTGTAGAACACCCTGTGAATACCCTATAAATACAGTTGTATAACTTCCCTTTGTCTCCATAAATGGCTATGTAGAGCTACCGTGCCTTCTGATATACCACAGTGGGGGGCACAGGAATCCAAGGGACCGATACAGAGTCGCACTACCGTTCAGCGAGACACAACAGTTAATGATACTGATTAAGAAACACGTAAGCTTGACCCACGGCATGTGTCACTGAACCAGAGGCTGTAGTCAGCCGCCGTAGTTACTTGAAAATTAAACGGAATCGTTCAGGAAGCGTTGGAATAACCGTAGCGGTCACTCACCAGATTACGCGTCACAAAACACACAAACCAAGTGATATTTCCTGTCCCGCTTGCAACCTGAGCCGACAACATGTACACTACAGCTTCCCATCCCTTTTATTTACGTGGTTATACCAACTGCGACACGCGCCAGGCTTGCAAACTTCAACACATTAGGTCAAGTTGTATTCAGCTTCGTGCAAGTATCGAACACGAAGGGACATTTCTGTCTTCACATTGCACACAATAAATAGGCATGCAACTTGGCCCACACACACACACTCGCGCGCACAGCAGAGGAAGTCAACCGAGCTCTACAAGTCTCCACGGTCAACTACGGAGCACGTGTGGGAAGACACGTCCCGCGCGTCCGGAACTTCGCTCAGGAACTCTGACCAGTTGTCCTCAGACAATGACTCACCTTTTGCCTCAGCATCCTGGTAAAACTGACCTTTGCTGGGGCTCTTATTGCCTCCTGATAGTGGTGTGGAAACGGGAAAATGGGAAACTCTCTGCCCGTAAGCAGATAGCCATTGGCAACAAGCTGAACAGAGCTGGGGGCACTCAAGCCCACATCCTTCCCCTAACGCTTTCGAATTTGGGATAGATGTGTTTTGAAAAACCGTGGAAAATGGCGAGCCTTTGTCAACCAGCAAACGAGATAACAAGAACAATGTGGCGATAACAAACAGCACAGTCCACTTCCTCCGAGTGACGGTCGAGTGCGCGTCACATTTGGCAGAAACCACTCATGATATCGGCAAGAACCATGCTTTCCAAGGTCTCTACTTAGTTTCCCTGATCGATCACGGACAGCACGATTCGCACTTCCAACACTTTTTGTCACCAAGTTAACGAAACCCCACTGCGTACGGGACGGGGCGCATTAGTTGCACAATGCTCTCAGCTGCAAAACCTTTAGGAGTGAATTAAAACTTTTTTCGCTAAAATTCTGCATTTTGTTGCCCATGTGCTCAAACCAAAAGCCATCTTAATCTGCCTTCATGTTTTTGCAGCTCACCAAATTTCATTGTCCACTGGTGGGGGGTCTGGTGGAATAATTTCCCAGCATCGCTGAGACCCCGGGATGCCTAAATTGGGCTCAAAAGTTTGGACTGGTACTCTGAACTCAATTGCCCAATTGCTTTAGTCCATCAAGGACCCCTCATAGGTTTCGAATACTGAACTGGGACACATTCTCCCAAAGTACTTAAAATCTACGCGTTTTCATATCTAGACAACAAAGAGTAGAACACCCGACCCCGTTTCGGGAATATTTTGCAAAAACAGCCGGCAGATGATGACTTGTCCACGGGTTGCAAATGTCTTCCAGTTGATGGGATACCTAACTGTTTCGAGACTTATTTGATACCAACACACAAACTGCAGCTAAAATAGCCAATCAGCTGACGCCAGATGATGGACCGCTGCTGACGGACGGGAAATGAATGTAGCTATAAGGACGTGCTTGTGTTGTGAAAGGCACATCGAAAGCTACCTAATGGTGTGATCCAGTCCTCACACTGTGCTGAAATCGATGCGAACTGCGTGAAAATCGCCTGAACTGCTTTGCCTTTTAAAAATCCGACGAAAGAAAAACGTCTACTTTTCCCGTTACACAATGATTTTGTCCTCACTAGAATGTGATTTCCAACGCTATGACCTTGAAAAGACTTCGCTATATGCGTATGCGGAAGTTGGCATGTGTGATGCATGTAATTTGGGATTTTTGAGACATCACGTTGGTATAGAATGACTTCTAGAATGGACTTCTAGTACCTTTCCTCCCTCCAAATAGAGGCCACTTAGGAAAGCAATGGCGTTCATCCCCACAAGCAGTTTAAGAGTTCGCAGAAAAGTAAAATTAGAAACGAAGAAAAAGTCTTCATAAATTCACAAGCAGACACCAACGTACCAAACGGCAGATCAACTCCTCCGGCAGTGGCCAATGAATCTGCAGCCTGAGCAACGGGTTTGTCCGGTTTGGTGACGTCACTGGGTGTACCAGTTGGTTTTCGTGATTCGATAAAGCCATGAGCAACTTCGGTTGGTTTTTGTCGGGATGGACTTGTCTTATCCTGCATATAACAGATGGCATAGACAAGCTCAGTAGGGACCCGTGAACTGTTTGAATTTAATAACAGAAAATGGTCCTTCAGGAACAGCTGAACGTTCCTTACTATGATCTACTACAGAGTTTCCGAGAAATACACTCGTTTGCATATCAATTTGGTTTTCATGAGAGACTCAACTGAATCTCTCGTTTATGATATGGGTTCAAGTAGAACATAAGGTTGATGGAAACTCGGGGACTGCGCCTACCAGATGAGCCGCAAGAAGAGCGAAACCGATCATGAGCTGTCGAAGTTTTCAGCAACCTTGTAAGTAGTTTCCTTTATGAAAATATACTGCGATATCTCGAATATCGTGCCAACTGAATCATGAGGCGGCCTGTGTGCAGCACATTCAGTTGTAGAATATCATAAATGAGAGATTCAGTTGAGTCTCTCGTGAAAACCAAAATGATTTGCAAATGAGTGTATTTCTCGAAAGAGATATCGCGATACATGTATATCTTTGTAATGTGATACTCATAAGGTTGCTGAAAATATTTCAAATACGATATTTCAAATATCGTAGCGACTGAAACATGAGGCGGCCTGGTACAGCACATTCAGTTGCCTGAGAATATCATAAACGAGAGATTCAGCTGGGTTCCAGGTGAGTCTCACGAAAGAACCAAATTAGTTTGCAAATGAGTGTATATTCGCTAATTTCGTGCAATTTGGTTTCAAGTAGAACATAAAGTTGACGGAAACTCGGAGACTGCGCCTACCTGATGAGCCCCAATAAGGGCAAAACCGGTTGTGGGCTGTCGAAGAGTTTTCAGCAACCTTGTGAGTAATTTCGTTTATGAAAACACTACTGAGTTTCTTTGTGACGTTTGGAGAAAGATACACGGAAATCTAGCAAGTACGTACATGACACGGAACAGTTGGTGACAAGGTCATCAACTGTGTGTATGCTACCCAACCGTTTGGAAACAGGGGTCTTGTTTCGGCCATCAAAGAAGCTACCGAAAATCCGGCTGTGTATCGATTGAATCGACGACGTTTCACAGACAGAAGTGCACACACTCGTGTTCACCATGTGGCATTCTTCTCGGATAAATTCGTGGCCAAACTGACGTGTATTCAGATTATTGATCTGGTAATCTGCTGCTACGGGGAAGTAAGCTGCACCAGGACCACTCACTTCGTAAGGTTTTACAAAAGTGCCAGGCTGCACTGTGGGGAGAGACGAAGGCTGTTCTACATGCATGCCACAGACTTTCGAGGATTCGTTTGATGACTGCTGAAAGTGCTAGTAGGTCCTGGTTCTTGAACTCAATAACTATCCCAATAGAGGAAATTTTCCCATACGGGAAATTTGTCACTCTGAAACAGACAACATAAACAGGGGAAGATAAGGACCACTACTTAAGTCCCGTTGGACTGACACACTCGTTAGAAATAGTAGTTTGTCCCCGAATGGTATAAGTCGCTCACACTTTTGTGTCACTTGGCTATCATTTTGATAAATCACACTGATGGCAGCCGGAGACGAAAGCTTCTTTACGTTTGAACTCACCACTGGCCTGTGCGACGGCTTGGTTGTCGGTTTGGTTCCGGTGGGCTGGTGCCCGGACTCCATGGATGAAGGTCGTCCCCAATCGGTGACTGCCCTACTTGGAAGAGTGTCCTTTACCTGAAATCCAGCTGAACGGAGTTCTTGTCGTAGCTTCTCTATGGTCTCCCGTGTATCCTGAAATGAGGCGAGTTAGGGATCTCGTCACCATCACAACTAGCTACTTTATGTCAAACGAAGTCCTTAAGGTCGAAAAGCAATGCTAACTACGGTCTACAGTACGGTCTACAGCACGAACTAGCAGTTTCACTGAATAGTAGCACCTACATACTCAATTGCGTTATGTAATGAAACAGAGGAGTGGACAACCTAGGGGCAGAAACAGAACAGGACAGGCGTTAGACTGGATCTCCCATTGAGATCTTGGGCTTAATGCGAAGGCTTTGTTGAAAACGCTTGGCCTAACAGGATCAAAGTCCAATGGCATATGCGACGGTGGAATGTCATAGGTGAACTCGTGTTGGACGTAACACCATATGGGAGAGTGAATGATTGGACTAATGTGGCCGAGAGAGAGTTTTACATCTATCCCAGAGAATCCGACAGAGTATTTAAAATACCCAGAGAATGGAATCCTGTGTGACATCTTTTGGGGAGGAGGAATGGCATCGAACAAAGCGATGTGCTAGACTCTGCCCCTGTGTTCACGGTTGATGAGTAGGATTGCCGCAGACGTGATTCATTCTGTATAGGTTGTGGTAAGGTTTGACGTTACGCCCACATCAATTTATTCATAACTAAGCTAACGGGTTCCGAAAAATTTGTGCGGGCACTTCAAACTGCTCTCTGTCATCGGGGGACAGCGAGTCACTCGGTGGATGAGTGGTATGCCCAAAAAAGGAAGTTGGATCTCGTGAGTGACACAGTCGCTTTTCGGATTTGGTAAGCGTCATGAGAGTCTTTATAATTCCCGCAGAATAAACTGCCGCAACTCGTGGGAAAAACAGAAACGAACTGGTGAGGACCAGGAAATCCTAATTTAACCTCGAAGGTCACATTCCAGAATTCCACATAGGTCAGGAAGCAAGCTTTATCCACCAAACAAATACTGATAACACTGAGGAGCATACCGACATAACTGGTCTGACTGCCGAGTCCTCTTGTTTTCTACTCATCCGGTCTGCACGAGCTTGCGGTACAATGGAACCCCGGTCCAAAGGATATTTGTCATCTGAAGCCCAGCTTCGGGCAGACAATTTAGGCGCAGTCTCGTCCCTCAGTTGACTGCGTTGTAATTGGGGAACTGATGATGAAGCCAATGCAGCATCGGAAGGGACTATTTTGGCCGGCTTTGGAAGTTGTTTCTGCAACTGACTGGCTCGTGCTCGACCCATCAAGGATGCACATGCAGGATGATGATGGTGATGATGGCGTGTAGCTGAGGACAGTTTACCTGGTAAAGAACACAAGATGAAACAGACAGCTGTAACCAGTTGGTTATTGTTAAAAATATGACATGTGGAAGTCTTCAAGTTGTGAAGATGTTAAAGCAATGTGTGAAGACGAGAACAAGCCTAAAGATTAGGTGAGACCGAACCAGTTTCGGTGTCCACAATGCTCTGTTACTTTCGTGTTGAGTACCACGATATTCACGCTACTACGAACGGCGTGTGCGGCGGAAACGCACACGTGCCAACGTGTGGTTTGCAATAGCCAATATGTCTTCGCCAGATGTGAAAACAAACACAAATCTAGGGTTTGGGAGCTAGTTCCAGAGCAGACAATTCAATGAACGAAACATACTCTGTCTTGGAGATCACAAACCACATTTAGACGGCTAGTCGAGATTGTTATAGAGTGAACTTCCGCTCTTCTAAAATAGGATAGTTGATCCCAATGCAAGGAAACTTACCTTGACGAGCGTCAGCAGGTTCACTTCCGCGTGAAGGGGAGAAGAAAATCTCTGATACAGGGTATGGAACTTCGGTCTCTCGACTATCATCCACTGGTTCTGCCGTTCGTCTTTTCTGTCTTGAGTCACCGGCTTCTAGGACCGGCACGTCTTTTGTTCGTGATGGAGAACGGCCTGCGGAGCCAGTCCTTGTGGTAGGTTGTTTTGAACCAGAATCAATCGTTGGCCTGGTTGGTTTTGGGCGTATGTGTCGCTTTGCTTGCATAACAGCACGTTTTTCCGTACTCTCCTCCGGTAGGTTCGGATCCATGAGGCGACGTCGATGCACACACTGTGCGTGATGATGGAGTACATCATCTGGAGCAGGCGCGGCATCTGTTGCCGGTTTTTCATGGCGCTTTGATCGATTAGCGTCATACTCTTTCACCATCGAGCTTTCGGGCCTGCCAAAACGAAAGTGAAGACGCATTGCTTTTGTAGAACTGGGTACAGTAACAGATAACTATCTGTCCACTGGAGACTAGGCGGACGTTTGCCGTTAAAAAAAACGCGGGACACACCCTCACACCCTTCCAGGTGGAACTGCCTGATCTCTCTTCGTCCAAGCACTGGGGCAGATTCCATAATTTTCGTTCACGAGACAAACGAAGAAGCAATGAGTAAATGTCAGAGTGAGTTTTACCGGAAAGGGATGACAACAACTCAAAGCCAGTACGAAATTTGGATGTCACAAGTAAGTTTCACTGCGATAATCCAGAGAAGCCGTCCACAGCACAATTTAACTGACGTTGGAAGCAAAATCTCATGGAAACACTTCTTATCTGACGAACCGGCTTCATGTGGGTCACAAACGCAAAGTTATTATGGCTCTCTAGAAGTCTGAAATTCAAGTTCCCGATTGCCCCTGAGAAAGCTGACACCTTTTGCTTCCTGAGCAGTCGCATGAATCATAGCGTTTTGCAAGCAAACAGACGAGCGCTGAATTAAAGTGGATACAGTCAAGAAGTTCGAACTGACGACGGCTGTCGTCAGTAAATAAAGGTAATCTAAGGTAATCTAAACCATTTTAAAGGGGCAGTCGAAGTCAGCCTCTCCCGAGATGGACAAAGTGGTTAGAGCGCGAATTTACTGACCGGAAGGTTCGCGATTCGAACCCGACCTCTGCCTCTCGACTTCCGCTGTCTAGGCTTGGGCAACCTAGAGGTATCCCAGCCCTCGTGCCTCCTTCATGTGACATGGAAGCTAGGCATCGAAAGGGTGCTACAGCTGATCGATTTTTTCAGCCTTTTCCGGGGAGCAATGTCTCTCGAGCTAGGCTTAAACTTTAAGCAAACAAACCATCTCTTGAGTCGCTACGGGATCAGTGGAACTAACCCGGCACTGCAAACAAAAATTTACCACCTGTAGTAACCTAAATCAGCCTTGTCCGGGTGCAGCAGTGCGTTTGTTGCTGTGCCCTTCATTGTCAGACATCAATGGTTCTTTTCAACGATGCGGACAAATGTCACATCTGTCTTCTGGTAGCTGATTCTATCAAAACGTCTGGAAAAAAGCTGTTTTTCTCTTAGTAGTTTTTAATTTGGTTATAGATAGACGGTTGGAAAGTTTGGTAGAAAGAAACACACTCAGGCTGGCGGTGCACGCTCCCTTCTACAATGAGGTCATGTGAAACGAGAGACCAAGCGCCTATTGGTAAAGGTTGAGCTGATCGTCTGCAAACAGTGCTCGAGGGGGTTCATCAGAATACTGTCCTTCGTTATACTCAGGAAAACTTGGCCACAACAACTTGTTTGTACTTTACTGTTTTCCATTTTTAAACATGAGTCGAACAATACGGCTTTGTGAGGCTAATGGAAAATAGAACCAAATTTAGGTAGGTTCAATCGGAGTCCTGTTGTGACCTCGAGTAGAATTCCCACCCTTCTGAGCAAATAGATCTCCGCGGAATCATCTACACCGTCCATCTCTGACAACTAAAACTGCGCGACTGAATGTTCGGAAAAGTTTCCATCACAATATACTTCACATAAATATACTACTGACCAGGTTGAAATGTCGGTGTCAAGTGGATTTGAGATTTCAATTTGAGCGGTCATTCAGTCCGCTAAATAGTGTACTCAAAAGTCTTGAGAAATTGTCAAAACACTCCAATGAGGTTCTGGTGGAAGCCGGAGGTATGAAGAAATGTCACGTGATCAAAACAAAGTTCATTGTCACGTGAATCAGTTCAACAGATTAAAGCGAGCCTAAAAGTAAATTATCCTCGCGTGCCAACATGTTGGCCTATGACATGTGTACTCACAAATGAGAAACTGGACGTTATTCGAGATGTCCTAAACTTATGTTCAATGTTAGCGGCAGGCTGATCCGGGATTTGGGGAAACCGTAAGTTCCCAACTACCGGCGAAGCTGACAAGTAATTTTTTCCCGTTACTGTGACAAGACAAATAGACTCCCTTTTCAGGATTAAGTTACTGCGCTTTTGGAAGGTTCAAAACACCCAGAGACGCAACATTTTGAATGATTAATTGCTTAGATAGCCTAGATTAGTTGCTTAAGATTCAAACACCATATGCGGCAAAATTCCTGGATCGATCGCTTTTTGGTGATTCCATGGGACACTCGTTGTGGATATTCCAGAATCAATTCCACGTTTCTGACAGTAACCAAAACAATTTATCGCATCTCACCCATCCCACGTGAAAGTGAATGATGAATGGAAGTATGGCGTCACGCTCAGTTTTGATAGGGAATCTTGGAACCAGGTTACAGTGCTTTCCAGAGCGGCCATACTACGCCGGTCCAGTCGGCAGACGATGCTTAAATCCAAATTGCACACAACTTTCGAAATGCACTCATTTGTACGCCAACTTAGTTTTAGGGGGGGACTCAGCTAGCCGACTAGCAGCCAAATCTAGTACGCCAACTAGTTTTAGGGGGGGACTCAGCTAGCCGACTAGCAGCCAAATCTACTGTTTATGATATTCACTTCATGGGGAATCCGTGCACTGGTCAGTATTGGAAGCGGTTACAGAATAAGCCAGTGTAGCGTAGATGACAAGCAGAATCAAACTGAAGAAAGGACACAACTAAAAATGGCAACCGTATAACTGACAGCAGTGCTCCTGGATCGCACCACACACAAGAGGCAAAACGTACTAAGTGAAGCAAACACACAATACTACTGAAATGGAACCAACTGCTTGACGAACCAACCAGAAGCGATTTACTCAAAGCACAAAGTAATCAATCGCAATATAAATTCCAAGCAGTAGTAAAACATCACAAACGAGAGATTCAGCTGGGTCCCAGGTGAGTCTCTCGAAAAAACAAATTAGTTTACAGATGAGTGTATATTCGCTAATTTCGTGCAATTTGGTTTCAAGTAGAACATAAGGTTGACGGAAACCCGGAGACCGCGCCTAGCTGATGAGCCTCAAAAAGGGTGAAACAAATCGTGGACTGCCGACGGATTTTCAGCAGCCTTATGAGTGGTACATTACAAGGGTTTGTAAGCCAATTACCAACCTCGGAAAAATATCAATTGCCACCTGATCAATATAAACGATGGCGTATACTCTATTATACAACGATAATATTGGTCAAAATATTAGTAGCTTGGGTGAATTTATTGATCGTTGACCGGATGGCATGATTTACAAACGTTTCCTCACCACACAAGGGAACATGATCGGTGAGTAGTGATCATGTCACGCTGTGCGGTGACGAAACATTTGCACATCGTTTGCCAAGCTCGGAGAACAGATCAGAAGCCACGTGACCAACAACCCATAACTCTGTCCTTCATAATAGTATATATGTAGTAGGATGGAACTCAACTGGCTGTGATATTATGTATTGCAGCAATAATAAATTAACAGTGAGAATGAAGGTAGGTTAGAACCCAAGGCGTTCCCATTCATATCAATATGGACAATTGTATTAAGCTAGCACTAAGTCCCCTTCCCATTCACCTTTATTCTTTTCCTCAAAACAAGGCTTCCAAATAAATAATGGCTGTAAGGTAGCAAAGAATCCATGTTGAACACTGATATCATGCTGTCGATGATGATGATAATGAGGTAATTTGGCGCTACTGTAAACCTCTCAGTGAAATTCCGTTTGAGGAACTTGGGCGAGACAACCGCGGGAGAGCGAAATGTGAATCGTCTCACAAGTGCCATGAAAAATTAGCTCCGTTGCCTCACCGAAAATGACCAGACAGATGAATTGGAATTCTTCCAGAACATGAAAAAGTGACGCACTCGTTCGTCTGACAAGTGGTTTATTATGAGTTGGATGGTCGCGGGTTAAATCGTTCCGGAGATTAGTAAAAATGTCCAAAGTTGATGAAACAGCTGAACAGCGCTTTTCGGCAAGTCAACAAAGACGGACGTCACTAATGAGGTGGAATTTCCGAGAGCCAATATGCAATACACCCGGGAACGCAATCGAACAAGAGATGTCAAAGAACGAAGGCTCGCAAAGTGGCAAAAAAAACGGTATGCTCAGAGGGAAAAAGAATACCGATCGAGCGGTTGAACCTCACCAAGAAACCTGATAAGCGCGCGGTTATTGGTTGTCAATTCGACCACACAAGAAGTCTGACAGAAATTCGATAAAGTCAGTTAATCAATCGCTTTCTGTACTGTAGTGTTCCTCAGTTGAAACAGGATACCAACAACAGACCGTGATGCTAACATTTTGGAAAGAAAAATGCTGATTTCACATCGACAAATGAATTGTGAGACTCACGTTTTTGAGTGCTTTCGTTTCGCCTTGCACTTTTCTCGATGCATTGGTGCTACAGCTGCATAGGGATCGAGTCCCTCCGGAGGGCCTTCGTGATAGTGACTTGCCTGTTGTGACGGCCGTGCTTGACGAGCACGCTCCTGGCGTGCGTCTAAACGAGGATCTCCAGGACCGACAGAATGATGCTTTCCCGAACGGCCACATTTGATGTCAGGCGGTAGTTCTGATCGGCCAGGTGCAACTGGAGCCTGATGGTGATGATGGTGATAGGCAGTCGGCATTGGACCGTACGTGAACGGAGGCGCTACAGGCATTCGGCCACCGTAGTGGTAAGCTGCTGCTGCAGCCGCGGCCGCGGCCGCCGCATGATGATGATGAGACTCACCAAAAAATGGAGGTGCGCCTGGATGGAACGGATAGCCGGCGGCTGCGGCCGCCATAGCAGCTGCTTGTTGTTGTTGTCGTTGCAAATGCAGTTGGTATTGTTTCACATCCACAGATCTTGGACGACGAATCACCACGTATGGAACCTCTTCAAGCATTTCAGCTGCTGCACTATCGGTCAACTCCATTGGTAGCACATCTGGGTGAGCGTGTTCACCGCCACCACCAAAAGGGTAGCCTCTTGGATAGGGACGCCGCAGTTGACGTTCGTTTGATGTTTTCTTTGTGTTCTTACTCACGTCTGAGTCTTTCCCACCTGGATGGCGGTAAGCCTCCATCCTACGCATTTCGGCGTGTAACCCACTAAGGTGTACATCACACGGTATGGAATGCGATAAATTCGAGGACTGTCCACAGGTATGAGCCAGCATATTTCTATGATGTGAAGGTCTCGCCGGTAAAGTGTCCACTGGAAGAACGGGTAGTTGATTTGATGAGGTGATACTCATCGCTGAAGTGACTTGCATGCTGGGCTGTGATTGTCGCGTGGAAACGGAGGCGTGCGGGCAACCGGTTTTGTGCTGACGAAGAAGTGATCCAGATGAGTTTGTGCGAATGTTGCCATCACCGAGTTCGGTTTTTGACGACTCCGGTCTTAGGATTACACCGGTTGTGCTGTCAGATCCGCTGGAACTCCAACGATCGAACGGAGCGGCTTGAAGTGGTTCGATAGATGGTCGACTTGGTCTGACCTCGACAGGATCACTTGGGAAGAATGGGTAGGAGGTAGTTGAGACCCCACTTGCCGGGATCTGACTGGTCGACCGACTAGAGAGAAGTGACGTGCCAAGCTGATTTGCGGAGGATAGGAAAGAGACCGGAAAAAAACAACTCAGGTTAGCACATTGAACATTATATATATATATATATATATCATAATAGACGCCAAATTTTATTGGGTAAGTAAACGTAGCCAATCAAAAAAAGGATAACAAAATTTTTCATCATTAGTAGTCACATAAAGGAGGTTTTGTGTGCCTGTGTTGACATTTTTTTCACGATGGACATCAGTACGCGCATTGAAATTTTGAAACTCTATTATTCCCTCGGTGAAAGCGCCACCGCTGCACTTCGTGGTTGCAAAACCAAACATGGTCTCATCAAAGATCCTTTCACCGTGTCGACCATCGCACGTTTGATTGCGAAATTTGAGTCCACTGGATCTGGATTGGATTTTCCTGGTAAAGGAAGAAAGTCTCTGAGTGAAGAAAGAGTGCCCATCGTACAGAATGCCGTCGAGCATATTTAGTCCCAGAACACCATGGCATCTTCGTCAATAACTCAGGTGTCTCAGTTGACCGGCATTCCCCGCGCCAGCGTGCATCGTATTATGAGACAACAGCTTGGTGGAGTTAAGAGCAAGAATTGAACAAGAGTGTGCACGAGTGACGCTTGGAGAAGTTAAACATGCTGTGTCTCACATCTCATACTGCCTCCAACTTGTTATAGAAGGGTGGTTTTCTTCAACATCTTTTGTAATGCCAGTTTGTTCACAGTATGTATGTCCACATAAAAATTGGCGTTAAAGTTTTAACATGGATATTATTTTTTTGCATCTATTATGAGACACTGTATATATGCATATGCATATATATATATATATATAAATCCTAAAGCTCCTAAAGCTTCCAATAAAGTATCCTATCCACCCCGATAATATAATGGGGGTGTTGCGTAGCTGGACATGCTTGATCAAATCAGCCTGTTCCAGTAATAGCACAATGCTGTGCTGTATTTTAAGGAATATTTTGGAGCCTTCTACAAGTGGAGTATCATTGGTTCTAAAGGAACAACTTGGTGCTCTAAGAAGTACACATATCTGAGTGAAACTCCCTTGTTAATTTTCGGTCGTTAGTTTGGCAGTGTTTTGTCAATTTGGTGACAGGTATGAGAAACTGTGAAGCTATCACACAATCGGTTACTGGTCACCGACATGATAGGAGCTTTAGAAACACTGAACTATTGGTAAGAATAGCTGTGACCTACTAAGGTCAGTTTCGGCCTCTCACCCAACAATTTTTTTATAAAAACTGGCGTTAAAGTTTTAACATGGATATTATTTTTTGCATCTATTATGAGACACTGTATATATGCATATGCATATATATATATATATATGCGTACATTCATGTATAATGAGAACAAATACGTGAGCGAACTCCTTATGAAATAACTGTTTTACCAAGCATATCTCTTTAAGACACAACTCTAGGAGGAGCACAGCAAACGGTACTCCTTTGTTGACTGTAGATTGAGCTACAACACTCATCCCTTTGTGGTATTTTTTTTCAACGTTGAATTGGATTGAAAAGTGGCCACTCTTCTAGTACCAGCAGAATGCCTCATCGGTTTTACCGTTTACGAAAACACAGGATAGGATGAAACACGTGAATTACGGCTCAGAGCTATTGCTCCAGCAAAATACCCTTCGAATTCCTTGGTCGTGCAACATGGCATAGTGAAACGTATCTTAAAAGAATTCGGCCACCGGACCCTACAACACTTACGTCCGTCAGAATGAGCTGCCGACCAAGAAGGACGGAGAACGCTCAAGAAGCGGGACCGTCGCCCAAGAGCGTCAGGTGACCTTTCTCCCATGGTGTTCCATGTTCGTAAGGGGAGCTACTGTGCACTCGTAGCCCATTGCTGCGCTATCAGCCACGTGGTGTTTGCACTAGTAAACGTCGCAGCTGACCTTAGTCAGCCAAGCATGTGAATATACCTGTGCGGTGCTTGGTTATCCCCGTCTGAGCTACTAAAGACCTTTCCAACTCGACGGCTCATTTTTCGGTGTTAGGTTGGGCTGAAGCTTGTTTGCTGATCATACCACCTCAAAACAGTGTGTTTTATCGATTAACCATTGCGAACAGACTTTCGGTTTTGTTATGCGGGACGCAGATCCGAAATTCATGTCCAACCGCAAATCTGTACAGTTCAGCGGACTAGTTCTCGAACCACAGCTCCACAGTACGACATAATCCATCCAAAAAAATTTACGGATGTATCAGTGAATTCATTCACTTGGGCAATACACGACTGGGTTCAAAAACGTAACGTACATAGTGTTAGCACCAGAAGCTGCGTTGGTTGGCACATGTGTTGCGTATGCCGAACCATCGTTTGCCAAAGAGAGTGCCGTTTTCCATGCCTAATTTAAAGTGGCGTAAACAGAGAGGCGGCCAACCCTTGACTTGGCAGAGGAGTATGAAGGAGATCACGAAACGCTGGGGTGCTGTCGGTGCTACTTGCCTATCAGGATGGGGACCGCGTGACCTTCACTGTGCCTGGTTGGAGACACTACAAGATATGGCTGCCAACCGATGTCAGTGGCGTTCTTGTTGCTAGTTTCTATTCAGATCGCCTGAGTGAGTGTCTGGAGGTGTAGACACCTCGGAATGATTGTGTTAAGGTAGCACTAAGTCCCTTCCCCGTCCACATTTACTCTTCTCTTTACAAAAAGGCTTTCAAATAAATCATGGTTGTACGGCAGTGAAGCATCGGTGTTGAACACTGATATCATGCTGTCAATGATGTTGATGAGTCATTTTTTCTTCGGATATAAACTGAAATTTGCGAAACAATGAAGAGTCACTGCTCGTTTCGAAGCCTCAAGGTCTTAATGTTCATTGTCTAAGGCGAAATCTGGATGTTACTAGTCATCTAAGGACGGTAGATTCTTGCAACTTTATTGCAGATAACGGTTTATTTCACGTCAAGCTGACGGTCTACCTTCATATGGCGTCTGAGTACCAAACTGTCCAATGCTTGACGGCACAGCGTTGAACATACACAGATCACGCAGTGCAGCGTCTTTGAAACAGTATGGCGTTCTTTAACCGGGTCGCTGAAGTCTTCTAACAGACGTTGCACACGATACGTGCACGTGAGGTGATTCGTTCTCTTCGTAACGCACGCATTTGTGTCCTGTGGCAGCTGCCGTTATCCTTTTTTAAGTAGGCATCCTGAAATCATAGTCTAAGGGATATTACGGAAGAACGCTGAGACTTTTGTCAACTGATCACATGACGGTTAGTTATGGCAGGCGGCCGAGTTTACTCCTGGGGGACTCATGAACTCACTCTGTGTGTCACAGATGTACATCGTGAACCTGGTCATCGCCTGTAGCCGACATGACACGGTCCGAGAGTTTAACTTAGATGCGCTTAACCCAGGCATTTTCACTGTTCAATATGTACACAGATTAAAGTGCCCGGAAATACTAAAAATACCGTAGGAACGGTGAATTCCTGGAAGTCTCCGGCGCTTTTTCTATTCTTCGTTGTCCAATTCTATTCTCTTCTCAAAAAAATGAATATGGTGTACTCAATTAGTAAACAGTGAACGTAAAATAAGAAATGTTACACAGTGCTACCACTTCCATAACGCAGTCATTTGCAAGCAGATACAATGTTCAATTTCCTTGCAACGCATAGTTGCAATGTTTACGCACCTGGTTCTCGGATAGCATTATTTGATGGCACAGGTAGGAGAGTTTGGCTGTCACCTAGGACAACTGGACAAAACTCAAAACCAGGGAAAACTGGGCCAGCTCCTAGTGATTGCCATCGGGGCGTCTGACAGACTCATGCCAACAGACCGACTACCACAGCAGATGCTGTCTCGCGGTTGGGATACTTACATTGCTCTTTGGCTGACGGCCTTGGAATTTGTTCTTCAGTGGAGCAGCTGTCTGACCCGCCCCGTACGTTAGCGGTTCCGGATGAACACTGGCCAGAACAAATTTCCTGCCATCTGGTTCCGGTACCGAGGGGACCGAATAAGCGGGCGTGACGGTCGACCACGAAGTTTGGGTGTAGGGGAAACCTGACTGGAGCGAATAGTTCTGAAGTGCGATCGATTCGCTCGCTACGTTTGACTGGGTTGTTGGTTCTGCTTCCGAGTGATGGGGCGGGAGAGTGCTAGAAACTGCTTCACCTGGGGTCGGATCAAACGAACGAATCTGCTGCTGACTTCTATCGATGTTGATATCCAAACCGTATTGTGTGACTGTGGGCAATATGAATACGGCGCTTTGTCCGGCGCGTAGATTCAGATCATCGAGAAACTCAGTTGGAGTTTGTTGAACTAATCCGTGTAAAGGGAGAAGTTTAAAGCAGTGGAGATCACAAGTTTAAGAAAACCTCCGAAACTTACACAGTGACTGAGAGAATTCAACCCACGGCAAAACGGTGTTACTCGATCAAAATTCGGTGCGGATCATACATACACAGTGCAGCCCGGAGAAGGATAATGACACCTCTGACCTAGAAAGTTAAGTAACCAATGGGATCCTGTCAGACTGAGTTCTGATTGGCTGTCACGCAAAGACCTCCACAACCGATCGACCAGTGTGTCCGTATCTCAATGTACTTCCTAAAATGCAATGTTGGGATCGCTAGAAAACTGTTGGTTCGGTCCATGTGACAAGCGCAACGCGCACGTGTGCCCGTAAATTTCAAACGCACTTTCAAAAAAAAAACATCCCAGCGGTTCATCAGTGAATCAAACGTTTGTGACGGTCTTTCAACTAATGATAACTGTACCTCAGGCCAATTGAAATTTAGGAGAGGTGTTAAACGTGACACAATTGGACGATCCGTGCTGGAATGTAGATATTCGGTTAAAGTATCAACAGAAAGTCTGAGATAACGTTCATACATTGAAATGATTTTCGACCCTGCCAACCCCCTCGACAGTCGTAAGGAAGCCAATTTACCATGACTGCGCGCGTCGAATAGGAATACTATACTATACTATACTATACTATACTATACTATACTATACTATACTATACTATACTATACTATACTATACTATACTATACTATACTATACTATACTATACTATACTATACTATACTATACTATACTATACTATACTATACTATACTATACTATACTATACTATACTATACTATACTATACTATACTATACTATACTATACTATACTATACTATACTATACTATACTATACTATACTATACTATACTATACTATACTATACTATACTATACTATACTATACTATACTATACTATACTATACTATACTATACTATACTATACTATACTATACTATACTATACTATACTATACTATACTATACTATACTATACTATACTATACTATACTATACTATACTATACTATACTATACTATACTATACTATACTATACTATACTATACTATACTATACTATACTATACTATACTATACTATACTATACTATACTATACTATACTATACTATACTATACTATACTATACTATACTATACTATACTATACTATACTATACTATACTATACTATACTATACTATACTATACTATACTATACTATACTATACTATACTATACTATACTATACTATACTATACTATACTATACTATACTATACTATACTATACTATACTATACTATACTATACTATACTATACTATACTATACTATACTATACTATACCATACCATACTATACTATACTATACCACACTATACTATACTATACTCGAATATGAATACTATGAATATAGTATACTATACTATACTGTACTATACTGTACTGTACTATACTGTACTATGAATACTTACAACGCCCCTGGATCATTTACAGAAGACGAATTGTTTCCGTAATCTGAAGAATTCGTCTTAACCTTTTTTCCCATGACTATCGTAAGATAGACTACAATAATATCGGTCGGTGGGATAAGACAACGAGATTGTTGTTGACTCTTTCGAAGCCACGCATATCAACAATTCGAACATTTCGAAGTAGGTGGATTCTGCGGTCACAGTTGGTCATTCTACAACACAAATTTTATTCCCCACATCTCACCTACATGAGCCCAGTTGTTCGATTTTACGCGTATCTGTCCCGATTAAGCTAAGTCGTTACCTCTGTGCCGGAAGGGGCGAAATAACCATGCATAATTTATATCTCCACAAGACGATAAGACCGTTTTCAAGGCCATTTCCAAGATTTCAACAGAACCACAGGAACGTGCTCACGGAGGTGAGATACGGAGCTACCTACGTACATCTTAGATCGCACAAAGTATAGGTCACTAAGTGGTCAAACAAAACGCTTTACAAGACAACTGATATCGCACTACAGAAACTGTGATGGTAAGCACGCCTTCATTTTCAATGTGGAAAACGTTGGTGCCGGTCTGAGAGGACATTAGGAATAGAAAGCACTTCGTATGCTTGGCGCACTGGGCGAGTGGTTCACTGATCACCATGTAGGGAAATGCTTCATTTCTGTACTTCTGAGCAAGCCATGAGTCCACCATACATGCCCTATAGATTTTCCATAATAAACAATCCGTGCCGTTCTCACGAAATAGGATATTTTGCTCTTTGACGAAGCAATATCCTGGAAGTGATGAGATAAAATGCAAGAGTTGCTTCAAACATGGAGACAGGGAGGATCACAAAACACAGAAACCAATCGGGTTTCCACATGATAGAGGTTAATACACTCCGAGTGCAGCTGAAATCGTCACATCGGTTGAAAACTGTTGTGTCACACAAACCGGATTTTTTTCGCAATAACACCTAGTATGAATTGTTTGCTCTATTTGGGATAAAATTAGTTTTCGAAATTTGTGAGTCCTCTGTAAGGTTCACTAAAGTCTATTTGCGTAAATTCAACAGTGCTATGTTAGGCGGGAAACTGAATGTGAAAAATTGATATCTTTTCCTTCTGTCAGACGAAGCGATCATCAAACAGTTTCCGATTATACATGATCCTCTCGACAGCATGCATGTGATGTACAAACCTGAAATTATGATGAACATGGAGCAGGTTTTTTGATTAGGCTGTTCAGTATTTAAATCCACCTTCGAAAATGGGCAGCCGTACGTGTTTCGTAACAACTCTGCATCCACAGCTGCTCAGACGATGAGCCTTACTCACTATGTGTCGCATCAAAAATACGCTAGAATTCGTTGGGCGGCATTTCGATTCGAACTCACAGTCGTCATTTGAGAGCTCGGAGAAAAAATTTAAGACAATGAGAGAGGCAGACGAAAAAGGAAGCGAGACCTCTGTCTCTGGTTGAAGATAGAAACGTTGGTTATCATTTAACCTTTGTTGAGAGAGTTCACCAGGTAAACTTACTTTGCGCGCCAGTAGGTTGCGTCAGAAACGAGCTTACAGCACTAGCAGCTTCGGACCCAATAGGTTGCTGTGTACCAGTATCCTGAAAGTCGAAAACACCAGAAAATGCAGTATTTTGGGGAACGCTGAATTGTGGGAGAAAATATCTTTGTGCACGTTATCTGTAGAGCAATCAATTTTCGATCCAACACTTACAGACCGTTGCTTTCAGAGATAACAATACATTATGTCATTCGTAAACAATCAACAGTGGAGCTTAGAAGCTATGGGATATTCGATGAATTTCCGAGTGAGCAAGATATCAAAAAGGCGAGTAGAGAAAATCCGACTACTTCATGAGAAACTGTGTTCTTGAATTTTGAACATCTAGGGCAGTTACATTCATTTGCCTATATACAGAAAGTGCTACACACAAGATTCTCCCAGTGATAGTATCAATCAATCAATCAATCAATCAATCAATCAATCAATCAATCAATCAATCAATCAATCAATCAATCAATCAATCAATCAATCAATCAATCAATCAATCAATCAATCAATCAATCAATCAATCAATCAATCAATCAATCAATCAATCAATCTATCAGCTATAGACCATATGCCATAGGCACATTTGTTCCAGCTACTACAGTTTCGGTCTGCGAAAAACGGGAAGGTGGAACAGACAAACAAGCCTTGGAGGGGGAAGCATGTTCAGTCTGTTCGGAAATGGGGTAGCTACCCAATGAAGGCGATAGTTTTGATGCAAGAGTGCCACTGACTGCGCGGTTGGGTCATTTGCGCCAGTGTCATTAACCACTGGTGATTTGAGCCCCGAGGTCCCCATCCAGGGAGGCAGCTAAGTTTAATTCTTAGTGTCTTCATACTTCGCTGCCAGATCACACACTGTCCACCTCGGTGATAGAATGTGAGTAATGTTTTTGGTGATACTATTGATCAAACAAATCATTTCAGTCCCGAGTGAGAAATTAATCATTTCAGTGGTAATAACATCAGGGGGGACGATTAACCTGAGTGGCGTGTTGATATCATTTCAGAAGTGTCGGACCCCACCAATAAGTTGTGCGTCCGCTTTAGACGGTCAACTGTGGGATCGCGGGTGATTTGGTGATCGACAAGAGACATGGTGTACCACCCTTCTGGGCAACGTGTGGGCCTCGAAAAGTCACTTTAGATTTGTCACATTTCTTTTAGCTGGTAGCTTGGATGCATTTATTGGCTGTTGATCAGGTTTCGTGGGCATACAAGAGTACACATGCGTCAGACGATGTCTCCACGAAACTTTTGTAGTCGAGCTGGCCTAAAAACATGCTAAACGAGATTCAGCTTGGTTCCGGGTGAGTCTCCCTTCAAGACGAAATTGATAATTCAATGAGTATTTCGCTGACCTGCTGTCCTTTTCAGTCAACTCATTTTCATCAGCTAGGTTGAACGTCTTCGGTTACACCGTCCGAACAACGTGAAGAGCGCACATATATCACAGTCGACTTGCCAGAGCTAGACAATTCGATGTTGGCACTGCCCAATTGTAAACATTACCGAATGCAGCCCAGATGCCGCAGATTTATGAAGAAAGCTCCCGCGAGGTGTTTTTTCGGGGGGAGAGGGGGCTGTTTACTGAGTAAACCAAAACTGAAAATCTCTCATGCAAACAGTTTCCAAAATGGATGGATTTCCAGGCACTACGCAGTCGTCTCATCGTCGAGACAGACACGGGAACATGTTCGCTTTCGTCATCAAGAAACGAAATGCAGTACATAACTTCGCATTTGAAGACATTCAGTTTACAGTCGGACTGGAGAAGACACTTGACTACTACTCTTGCACATTTTAGTGAATAGGAATGTGAATAAGACTCACAATATGATTATGTTGAATTAGAAATGCAACCGTTCAAATCACAGGAACAGAGCCACTTAGAACCTATCTAATAGTGCGGAGACACATTGCGGCACGTGAGAGCTAAGGAAGAAGACAGCCCTTTATTCTGAAACAGGCGGTGCCCAAAAAATTTAATTAAGACAAGATTTGGGGAGAGAAAAGTCAGTTGCGGAAACGGCAGGAACAAACAACCGAACGGATGGTTCTACATTGAATATAAATATATCTGAACTAACTGTCTGGTGTTCGAGAAATACACTCATTTGCAAACCAATTTAGTTTTCACGAGAGACTCAACTGAATCTCTTGTTTATGATATTCTACAACTGAATGTGCTGCACACAGGCCGCCTCATGTTTCACTTAGCACGATATTCGAGATATCGCAGTATATTCTCACAAAGGAAGCTTCTCACAAGTTTGCTGAAAACTCTTCGACAGCCCACGGCCGGTTTTACCCTTCTTGGGGCTCATCAGGTAGAGATTCAGTTGAGTCTCTCGTGAAAACCCAGTTGATTTGCAAATGAGGGTATTTCTCGAAAATAGTTTAATTTGGGTTCAATTAGATAATAGGGTTGATGAAAACTCGGGGACTACGCCTACCTGATGGGCTCCGAGAAGAGCGAAACCGGCTGTGGGTTGTCGAAGAGTTTTCAGCAACCTTGTGAGTAGGTTCCTTCATGATAATTGTCAGGTCGAAAAGGACTTCTCATGTCCCAAATCCTTAGTCTTACTTTTAGAAGATTGATGAAATCAGAAGGAAAAGGATGCGTCAAATCGACTACGGCAACTTCAACAAGTTCTATGCTAGACAAACTGGAAGGTAACCGTGTACGCGAATGAGAAAATGCAACACGACCATCAGAACACGTGATTCTTTCCTCTTGACCAAGAGGGTCACAAATACAATTCGGAAAACGTAAAAGTGGTGACGTGACAGAAAGGCATGGTAGTATAGGACGGATTTCATCGACTAAGGAGTTGAACTACATTCAATTAATGCACCCTCAGCTGGAATGAATAAGACACCAAGCGGAGCACTCCAGAAGAGGAGACCCCTTGGAGCCATATCAAAAAACCATGAAGTCTGATTCAGAGAGCTACTCAGAGAGAGAGAGAGAGAAGAGGGAGGACAGTGGAGCACCGATCACTGGACGAGAATGGAGGAGAACCAACCCACAGGTCACGTGGTCACTGTGTGATCGGGACAGAGACCCACCGATAGAACCACCCGACCGAACAATCAATCGTAATCGAACGTCTAGCAGCACTTATGTTGACACCTACTCAGTGAACTACCAAAAATACAAACTTACGGCCAACGATGCAGCAATCCGGTGTGTGTCCCCGAAAAGGTCCGTCGCCGGATGAGCGAAACCTCTTTGCGACAAGCCCGTATCCGCTTGACTGAGTAGATCGGGTTGTGTGGTGGAAAGCGAAGAGGATACCCGAATCTCTTCGCGCTCTGAACTCAATTCCGGATAGGGTGAGACTACTCGGCTCACTAGGTCAGAAATGTCTGCGCCAGAGAACAAAACGGCGCCAGTCAAGTCAGACAGGATATCTGATGCTTGTTGTTGCTGTTGCTGTTGTTCTGTGGGGCTTGAAACTTGCACTGATGTATCTCCCTGTCTTTCAGACTGGGATGTTTCCGGTCCGGTTTGTATTGTCGCTCCGGGAACTATGGTCCTGCTTATCTCACTCAAAAGCAGAAAATGTGTTAGCGCACCGTCATCGTCTGCCGCGGCGATCTGAACAGTCGGCGCTCCTTGTTGTTGATGCAGCAACAAGCTGTCCAACTCAGTGTCCAATCTGCCCAAAGAAGCTGTTCCACTAGTCCTAGGCGATCCAGCTGCAGATTTGGCCCGTCGCATTACCATGGAGGTATCTTGCTTTTCTTCGGCGAGCACACCGTCACCAGTCCAGTCTCCAGTCATACGTCGGTAGGTTTCTGTTATCCATCGAAGCGGGTCCATTTCAGAAACCTGTTCGCCCTCCAGTCTCTCCATATTCGTTGCTATGTCCTCTTCCGTCTCTGGCACAGTGTTGGCATCAGTACTTTGTCTACTTCCGGCACTCTCTGTGGTCGTTACGTAGCCACTTGTGGGCGCCTCAGGTAATTCGTCGGCATTACTTTTCCCACTAACCATTACCGCGGATTCTTCCTGGGAGTCGTTGGCAGCTGGCCGCGTCCCTTCGCTTTGTGTACGTTTTAATCCGGAAGAATGACCTAGACTATTCGTCAGACTGACCCCGAGGTTATTGCTGAACATGGTTGCAGTACGACGGTCGGCGGAAGAGGAGCGTAGCTGTAGAGAGGCTGTCTGCAGTCGTTTACTTGTGTAGCTTGAACCACTCAGGAGGGTTGAGTAAGCTCGTCTGGCGGAAGACGGTCTAGGAGGGAAGAACAGAGTCAGACATGCATCGTGGCGACGGCATTCTCAGTTGCTAGATAAAAAGTTGCGAGAATTCTTCAGAACCGTAGGTATATTCGACAAACAATGATAGCTTTGGACATATTTCCACACAATATTCAGAGGAACCACAACGACGCATGAAAAAATCTCGTTCGCTGTGTACAATCAAATTCGATGGAAACGACATTAAGGGCTAGTTTATGGTCTTTCCAATAGAGTTTGCTCTCCTGCAGAGTCTAGAACATGGACAACAACAATTTAGGGGCTTGGTAAGGCTTTCCACGTAAAGGAGGAGGTTGCCACACACAAGTCACTTTTTTAAATCAATTGGAAGAAGTTTGGAACCGATTCAGAAGTCACCGTTTCAGAAGAGTTCGATAAACAATCGGTCGTTTTTATTTGGGCAACGTTTCGCTTTTGACACAAAAGGTTCACCAGGCCAAGTGAGCTGGTCACCAAATTGGCCAGGTTATAAGACAGACGGGGAACCAATATTCAGATGATCACACTAGATCAGTGACGAATGTCAGTTAACGGCTCTTGATGGCTAGTGTGGTTGTCAATAATTCACCTTTTTATTTCTTAATGGTCTTTGTCGGATAAATTTGTCAGTCATTTCGGAAGTAACTCTAAAACCACAGAAAATGCAAAATGCACCATAGGTATGACACAAAAACCCCTTCCCTCTGAGAAATAAAACTAGGATAGAAAAGGGCATTGCAACTAATCATGGGTGATGGGCGCTCTTCGGGAGTCTAACATAAGTCATTACAACGTAGTGACGGTAATTGCATATTAGAAATCACAGCGAATCTGACTAATCACCCTTGCTAGTTGAATAGAAACGATAGGAAAAGCGTCATTTAGGATACGGGCGCATGAATTGGAGGTAAACTGCTCGAGATGCCTGGCCAGAGGTCACGTATCCGATTCCTCTCCACCCACGCGATGAGTTCTAGAGGCTCAAGGGTTGATCTAAACAATCACTCAAATTAATATAACTCTGGTCAAAAATGTTTGCTTTCCATGGACGCGAATTTTATGGTTCGCAGCACTATGATTGCTCATTATTGTACTCCAGATCATTTCTCTCCTTCTGGAGCCAGTGATCGAAAGTTCTAGTGAGGGTCCTTGCAGATTGAATGACCCAGTGGATGTATTGTGTTGCATTAAGGTCTTTTGGTATGATAAAAATATGTAAAAGATCAATTGAATAAAATGGAAGTAGAACATAAGGTTGATGGAAACTCGGGGAGTGCGCCTAACTGATGAGCCCCAAGAAGGGCGAAACCGGTCGTGGGCTGTCGAAAAGTTTTCTTCAACCTTGTGAGTAGTTTCGTTTATGAAAATGAAAGTGTTTTTCCCCAGGAATCTCGCCTTAGCTATCCCCTAAAGTTTCTCAAAGTTCTATTATCAGGACCACGAATGAAACGCATTTTACTGTCAAAATCCATGTGATAACTGCAGCTAAAACTGTTTGGTCTCTGTCTTTCAAACAACACCTGTCTATATCGAACAATTTGAAAGTAACTGAATAGCATTCCTGACCTCCGCACTGTCCGAATTTCGACCGAATCTCCCTGTTTTTTTATCTTATTGATTCCAAGTCACCCTTCTTTTCACGATAACTGTGCCCTGCGGTATTCCCCTTTTTTTTCAAAATGTCCACCGTTCAGCTCCGCTGACCTATAAGATCTTTTATCAGCTGATAGAACGTCTGCTCGTCCCCAGTAAGCTTGTGAGTTCCGGTGTGAGTGAACGGGTGAGGGCCTAAACAATGCCTCTTTTAGGTCGAAGCAACTCTGTGTGTCGTGAAATCCAACACTATAGTACCAGCTTTGATCAGCTTGTTTCCAGAGACGGAGGCACGGCGACAACTGAGCACTTAACGCCGGCACACGTGAGGCATAAGTCAGTCAGTGGTTCTCTCTTCACTCGGCAGTGTTTAGTGTGTGTGTGTGTGTGTGTGTGTGTATGCACTCTGCGCCTGTATATTTCAGTTATTCTTCCTATTTAACATGTTCAACGTATTTGTCAGAGGCGACTAAACGGGTGACGAACGCCTAATTTTCGTGATAGAACAATCTTAGTGTGCACCAATTGTACAGGTCCCACGCGGGTCGTTCTACTGTACGTGCCCAGCAATCCTTTTGTACGTTTGATACAAATTCCAAAAAGCCATATAAAATTATCACCTTGTTTCTCTTGTATGTTTAATGGGGAGGGAACTCGTTTTTGAGACACTTTGTGAAAATTGAGAGTGGAAGCCGGGTTGGAGATCTGAAGTGAACATTACAAAGCAGGAAAAACAGTGGGATGTGCTGTCATTTAGCCAAACACTGCTGCTGCTGTATAATAAACGTTTAAGGAACGATACTACTCAAACCGTAATTCATAAGTAACCTAACAGTTGCTGTATCCGCTGTAAGAACCGTGTATTTGTCGTACAGTGGTTATGGCTGCCACAGTTTCGTTCACCGATGATTCGGAGAGGTGGGGTAGGTAGCTGCGCATTAGAGGCGGGGGCTGATAAATTAGTGCATAAATGAAGCACTGTATGTGGATTGTTAAGTGGGGGATCGGGAAGGGAGCTATGCATTGAAGATAATCGCTTGGATGCATGAGCGCCATTAAGGGCGCGACTGGGCCCTGTCTGATAGTGTCTCTAACCATTGATATGGCCCGTCTGAGGGTCCCCATCCAGGAAGGCAGCATTGACCTATGCAGCTGAGTTTGCTGGTAATGGCTTTTATCTTTCGCTGCCAAATCATCGCTTGAACCCTTCTGTCTCGTCTCTACCCGTCACATGATTCTGCTGAATGGATTCCTTGAAGAAGTCGAACGACTAAGCGCATAACAGGTGATAAATGGCCGACGAGTGTTTCTAGAAGGTTCTTTGATAATCTTAGACCCATTTAGTTTGTGTTGTTTGAATCAAGCAAACAGTGAATTGTTTCTCGGCTTTTATTTTCGCTGCCAAATCATCGCTTGAACCCTTCTGTCTCGTCTCTACCCGTCACATGATTCTGCTGAATGGATTCCTTGAAGAAGTCGAACGACTAAGCGCATAACAGGTGATAAATGGCCGACGAGTGTTTCTAGAAGGTTCTTTGATAATCTTAGACCCATTTAGTTTGTGTTGTTTGAATCAAGCAAACAGTGAATTGTTTCTCCTTGCCTTCTTCTATACACACAATTTAAGACAGTAATTCTTGACTGCAAATTCCAGTAGACGTTTGACACTTTTGCGATTTTTCCCTGAGGAGTCAGACAACTCGAATTCCTCTCCCAGGAACTCCGCATTTCCCACCGTTAATTTCAATTTGCTAGACATGTAGAGCTGCGCGAAAAAAACAAGGGCTCCTGTACATTAGTAGACAAACGACTGTTGGGATAAATAGACTGTTTATTTTCACGACGTTCACGCTTCAATGAAATTTTCAGCAGTTCCGAAAACTGGCAGAACGACAAGGGACACGGAGGGTGAAATCCTGAAACTCCTAACCAAAAAGTCACTTAGTCAATTCTTCGTGCTCACCAGATGCGTGTTCAGGCTTTTCTGGGTCGAAGCTCAACTGTGCCGGAAGTAAATAAGTTTTGGATAGACGTACTACACTACTCATAAGGTTTTCGAAAACTCTTCGACAGTCCACGGCCGGTTTCACTCTTCTTGAGGCTCATCAGGTAGGTGCAGTCCCCGAGTTTCCGTCAACCCTATGTCCTACTTGAGACAAAATTAGTTTAAACCAACCATAAACAAGAATACCAGCTGGATTCTAGGTGAATCTCTCGTAAGACTAGAGTTGTTTGCAATGAGAATGTTTCATTAAATCAGTTTTTTCCAGGAAACTACTCATAACGTTGCTGAGAAATGTTCCGGAATCCACGACAGGTTTTGACCCACTTGAGGTTTATCAGACAGATGCAGTCTCTGAGTTTCGGTCAAACTTATGCCTCGCTTGAACCTAAAGTATACACTATTCACAAAATGTGCGCTCAGTATTCACACAATGGAATTGATTTTCGACAGCTATGAGGTGTCCCTGATGGGCTAAAGCAATCGAACAATTGGGTTAAGGGTACCATTCCAAACCTTTGAACCCTATTTAAGCATCCCAGGGTCTCAGTGATGCTGGGAAATTATTCCACCAGGCGTTTCTGCCAGGGGTGTGATTGCTCAAGCGGACAAGAAAATTTGGTGAGTTGCAAAAATATGAAAGTAGATTAAGAAGGTTTTTGGTTTGGGCATATACGCAACAAAACGCAACATTTTGGCGAAAAAAGTGTTACTCCACACGCAGAGGTTTTGCACCTGAGAGCATCGTGCGGCTAATGGATGCCCAAAAAAATGTACTTGATTGCAAACAAATTTGACTTCAACGAGAGACTCAAACGAATACCAACTGAAGCTCCCGTTTATAATATTTTTCAACTAGATTTGTTCCCCCAGGGGCCATCTCGTGTTTCAATATCTCGATTATTATACGAAATGAAACGTGACATGGTTTTATTTAGCATATTCCGTTGAGGAAGACTATCGAAAACGAGAGATCCAGTTGAGCTTTCCAGTAAAACCAAATAAATTAGATTTTAGCGCATATACACTCATTTGAGAACTGATTTGATTTTTCGAGAGACTCACCTGGAACCAAGCTGAATCACTCGTTTGTGATGTTATGAGTAGTACGTTACAAAGATATACATGTATCGCGAAATCTCGAATATCGTAGTGACTGAAACATGAGGCGGCCTGGTGCGGCACATTCAGTTGCCTGAGAACATCACAAACGAGAGATTCAACTGGGTTCCAGGTGAGTCTCTGGAAAAACCAAATTAGTTTACAAATGAGTGTATATTTGCTAATCTCGTACAATTTGGTTTAAAGTAGAACATAAGGTTGACGGAAATCCGGGGACTGCGCCTACCTGATGAGCCCCAAGAAGGGCGAAACCGGTCGTGGGCTGTCGATGGATTTTCAGTAACCTTATGAGTAGCACATTACAAAAGTTAGATTTTACTCAGCAGGCACAACAGGGAAGACTTCATAAGACAGGTGTTCCTATTGTTAATCTTGGTTGTTAACCACGTGGAAGTAAATGATGCGCAGTACTTCAGTTTTCAACAATTTGTTCGGCATCGACGCAGCAAGTTATTATAATGGGATTAGAGGGAGTTACCTCTCAAAGTTGATTCGGTTTTCTCCGTGCTCTTGAACGTATTCGTGCAACTCCTGTTCCGTACGTCCGGTATACCTAGAATCCAAGACAATACATCAGAAGATACAGGGAAAGAAAGAACGAACAATGTGAAGTACGAAAAAGAAACTGGAAGAAGGATGAGGTTTGGTTTGTGTCACTCACAGGCACAGCCAGTGTGTGCTGTTGAAGGACGAATGAGAACTATTGCTCCATTCGAGGAAAACCACAGACGTAAACCGTGTAGTTGGTCTGCGAGTTGTGTAAATGAGGATACAGTCGCTACTCATGTACGTTTTAGGTTATCAGGGACGGAAAACTGGCAAAATATTCACTGGTGGATCACCGCATCTTGCATCCGTAGATCTTCCCAAAATCCATGTGATGAGTAGCTTAAATACGCTTATTTGCAAATCAGTTTGGTTTACACGCGGGACTCAACTGAATGTCTCGTTTATGATATGGGTTCAAGTAGAACATAAGGTTGACCGGAAATCGGAGACTGCTCTTACCTGATAAGCCTCAAGAAGAGCGAAACCAGTCGTGGGCTGTCGAAGAGGTTTCAGTTTCCTTTATGAAAATATACTGCAATATCTCGAATATCGTGCCAACTGAAACATGAAGTGGCCTGTGTGCAGCACATTCAGTTGTAGAATACCATAAACGAGAGATTCAGTTGAGTCTCTCGTGAAAACCAAATTGATTTGCAAATAAGTGAATTTCTCGAAAACAGTTCAATTTGGGTTCAAGTAGAACATAAGGTTGACGGAAACTCGGGCACTGCGCCTACCTGATGAGCCCCAAGAAGGGCGAAACAGGCCGTGGGTTGTCGAAGAGTTTTCAGTAACCTTGTGAGTAGCGCCCATAATCTTGTTACATTTCATTTTGTTAGCTCAAAATATTCTCAGTGCCACGGGGCCCATGGTGGAAAGTTGCCAACGTTGACAACGTAGGCTATAGGACAACGTGACGCAGTTGTGGGCGATAAATGACCAGACACATACAAAAGGAGTAGCTACCTGTGAATGACAGCTGGTCAGCTGTACGTCAAATGTAGAGCTTCTGTTTCAGACCCAATCTCGAAGGGCAAAGTTTACAACCACATTAATTTGACTAGTTGTTGTTGTTAAGCTCTTGAACTGGGGTTGGGTGACTCGTGCTGCTTAGCTGAACGTAACGACTCGGTCATGACGGTTGGTCTAAGAGACTACGGCTAGATCCCATTCCCGGCGAGCCTACTGCAAACTTGTTTGGCCTCCAATGGATGAATGGACTATTTACTGAGAGGTTGGCATCTACCAACTTGGCTTGGCTTGGCTTCGCGATTTTTATTGAGCTCACAATCCCCGCTGGGTACACAAAAGCGTAAGTAACAACAGTGTTTTACACAGACGTCATCTTAGACCTAACTTATAAGTTTGGTCCTCTTAATGTACTGTGTATCTGTAATCATCATGTGAGTTAATGATGTCATTTGCAGAATGAACCAATCAGGGACGGGACAATTGTTAATAGTAGTCCGACATACAGCTGGTTCATGATAGCGCATCTGACGCCTGGGAAACTCCATGCCAAGTCGACTGCACTATCAATTGGTAGTCCATGCTCAGGATGGAAGACCTTCAGCACATGTTGCGCTTGCGTTGTAAAACAAAATCCACGAGTGAAATCTGCATGAAACCAAGTTAACAAGTGAGTGTATCCTTCAAGACACTGCTACTCGTGTAACGATGATACTACTGATTGGGAGGCGTGCGAGTAGTATGTTCTGTTCTTGGAAATTCGCTTTGCGTCTCTTGAAAAGAGGAGATCTGTTGCGGAATTAGTGGAGTCACTTTGTAGTATTTGCTTGGATTTGAGCAACAGTCAATGAGTTTCCAGGAAAGTTCAAAAAGACGCGTTCAAGAGAAGATGAATGTTCAATTTTTGTGGATAAGATGCAAATGAGAGTTTTGCTTCCCTGTCCACTAGTCTGTAACCGGTCAGTTGGCATTTTCTAATAAATAACTCCACAGCGAAGGCCTTCTTNTACAAAAGAAGTAGCTACCTGTGAATGACAGCTGGTCAGTAGCAGTGTGGGACTGTCATTGCGAATCCAGAAACAACAGCTCTTAGAAATTCTGCTCGGTTTCTCTGATAAAACATACTTACACGTGCCTGAGCGCCATAAGAGGCGAAACGTCGTAGCCACTGATCACTCAAGGAGTCCAAAACTCTTTTTCGAATACGTAGAAAGCAATTGGTCAAGTTGTCAATATCACTTACAGTCATCGTTTTGAATCGACACATGCAAATCCAATGAAGTTGCGAGAAAATTCTGGCCAATCATGAAAATTTCGCAGCAAATGACTCAAACGATATTGGTTTTTTAGGGCTCAAATCAGTTATGCAACGGCACAGTTTGTAATTGGGCGAAAAGAAAAAAATATTGGACCGGAATGTTCTACCGGAGAGGAAAACGGGTAAAGGTTACGAGGAGTAACCTTGTTGTGCATGGGTTGGCGGAAGGAGAGCCAGTTGAAGTGGGACTAATAAGAACAAGATGATTCCTGGAGATCAAGAATGCATCGATTAGGGTTTTCGCAGCCACTTAAGAAAACCGGGGGGTTTCGCACGCCGAACGAAATACACCTTTTTCGTTTCTCGTCGTTTCTTTCGGCTACACTGGAATGGACGCAGGCATAAACTTGAGTTATTAGGATAGGACCTCCACATGCTCGCTCATGTCATTCAACCGTAAGCCTATCATCCAGAGCTGATAAGGCTTCCGCCCCCAGCAACTCAGTCGGCCGACCCAACCCAAGTGTCCGTTTACCATTCTCATCCTGGAAAACAGTACTTGATATGGGAGGTATCAGGAATTCCATCAGTGCCATTGATATTTCAATTGTAGGCACTTGGCTGGCAACTTGCACAAACTCAAAAATTACTCACAAAGCATGCAGCCAAGTTCAATTAGTCCCTCATCCATTGGGGGAAGACCACTGGGTATGAAACCGTTGAACACATTGCACAAATAATTACCGCCGGGTAAGAAGGAATAAACGGGATAAGCAATGAGCAAACGGACAAACGATCGATTGAGACCACAATTCTGAACTTCACACACTCATTTTGGATCGAAATTCGCAAAATGAAGCTAGGATAAGCCGTTTGAAATTTCTCCTCCAATTCGTAGCTACCTACCCCACCTCCCCGAATCATCGGTGAACGGAACCGTGGCAGCTACAACCACTGTACGAAAGTACGCGGTTCATACAGCTGATGATGATCTCCACAAGCAAAAGAATTCGGCTCCACCTAGAGGACGGCACACAGACTCTTGCGCTCTGAGGTTTTAGTATCAGGTCACCAAGCGTTTGATCTTCCACTTGCATCCTAAAGAATTCAACATCATGATTGACTAAACAGACTGTCGCATTTTAGTCCAATTCTGTCGTTACACTAGTAATCCATCAGACTAACTAACCAAAACGTAGCCAAGATTTCCGAGTTACAAGTCCCCTATAAAAAATTGACACCATTTGAATTCGCGAATTAGATACTGTTAAGGTCAGTATTGAACAAATCAATCTACCGGAGTATCAACAGAATCCCGACAACCCCATTTGCAAACTAATTTGATTTTTTGAGAGACACACCTGGAACCCAGCTGAATCGCTTGTTTGTGATGTTTTCAGGCAACTGAATGTGCTGCACCAGGCCACATCAGGTTTCAGTCACTACGATATTCGAGATATCGCGATACATGTATATCTTTGTAATCAATTACTCACAAGGTTGCTGTCGACGGATTTTAAGCAACCTTATGAGTAGTACATTACAAAGATAAGAATGCATTCTCATAAAATGCTGATAATTATTCAATGTACGCGACAACATTGAATAAAACACTCCATTTTTAATTCAGGAGTGTCTTTTTCGGGAAACAGCGGACAGGAACGGAAAGGAGGAAGCTTTATTGAGTGTGCACTTTGGGAAGCCGCTGGTAGGACTGNCTTGGGAGACTTAACCCAACTTAACCGGCTGTCGCTTATCACCTGTCTGTGAACCAGAGTAACGCTCATACAAGTGGCCATAATTTTGGCTTGGGTGAAACTCGTAGGCCAAAACATGTCTCATCAGATTCATTCGTCAAAGGCGCACTCGCAATGGCTCAGAACTTACTCGTATCGTTAACGTCGTTTGGATGACATGCATGTATGGAATAAAAACTATCCTTCCCCACTCACCTGACAGACTGACGTTCATTTCAGAGGTGTACCGATCCGAAGCTTTGCGAACTGGCTCATTCTAAGTACCTTGCTAACTCAAAAGATACTGTACACGCAAAAACCACGGATGTGATTTGTACGCGTTTCTTCCTATGATGAAGTCAGGCGATATGGCTGGGACGTTCGCATAGGTAACATAAACTGCTAGATCAGTCGAATCAAATAACATGTTTCAACAGGGATGGTCAAACGAACTAGCGTGCCAGACGTTTATGATTGATCGCCAGTCGGTCGAAGCAGCAAGTTAGGGAGGTTCTTCCCCCCTCTAGAAGGTCAGCACGCCGCTGCAGAGATTGAGGAAGCCACAGCTGGCGAAAGGAAAAGCGCCTTACCCGTGAAGTCGCTTTATAGCAAACAACAACTAAGCAGTTGTAGACAGGAAAGTGAATTGCTCATATACACATAGTTTTTAAAAAGTGGACATTCTCATCGGTCTTCTTGAACTTTCATGGATATTTGTTGACTATGGAACAATTGTGAATCAACACTCCACAAGTTCCGTGATAAACGTCATATTCGATCATAGGCGCGGTGGGGCTTCGAAATGACCGCAACTACTCGCGTGCCTCATCAGTAATGCGCGCCGTTACACAGTTAGTGATGGGACGGTAGCGGCTGCGATCAATAAGTTCAGCGCATTGGCTCACACGTGACAGAGCGGGCTTGATCTGACTGGTGGATGGCACGTATCGTGGGAATCATAATGTGACGAGGTATACAATGAAAAACTTGACCTTTAGATGATCAAAGGTGCCATCAAGAATGATAGGCAGCACGGAGGTATACTTCATACTTGCCACCGATAGGACAATCATGCAATCGCCATCTATTCACGGACAAAGGTTTCTCATCAACAACGTTAACACCGGAAGGAGAAACGAAATCCCACCTACCTGAAGGTGGATCCGCTTCTGGAAAAGCGCTGTCCCGGTTGCGCCTGTTTCGAGAACGCTTGCTCCGCTTTCGGACACCGAAAGA